TAATATTATAAAAATAATTTTTTATTATATTTGCCTCATGTTCGTTATAATATAATATTTAATATTATAGAAATAATAATATAAAAATAAGTTTTTATTATATTTGCCTCATGTTCGTTATATTGAATATTAGAAAACCGAATGATCGTCGTTTTTTCTTGAATATAATGTTGAATTCTCTTTTTGGACAAATCTTCGTCGATAGAAATATTTCATTTGAAAACAGTTACAAAGGTACAATAGTAAATGTTAAGCCAACGGTATGTACTATTATTATTACATATAATAGCAGTCGTGTAACTTATTCATTTCTCTGGGAAAACGAATTGTCTCGGTGAAATTCATCTTTAATTTGCTTTTCACTTAACACTCCGCACGAAATGACGAAAGCAATTGAGTGAATTTTAAACTGGCTATTCCCTCATCGATTTTAATTATTTTTCTGAATATGTTGTGAAAGTCCACATTTTAAGCAGTTTTTTTTTTTTCTCTAATGGGAATGTCGAGCTTTATTTATTAGAGGAAATGGCTGTTCAGAATATCGACTTCTCTAATTGATTCCTAAATGATATTAAATATCATTAAATCTTAATATTAACATTAACATATTTCATTAAGTAATTCATACTTTACTAACAATTTATAACAACAAATAATTTCGGTCGTTGCAAATGCAACTCGGTGAATTCATCTTAACAAGTAACATTGTAGTATGAAAAATGAAATGTGTGTGTGAAAAATGCAATATATTTAAGACAATAAATTTGAAATTTCAGAGCAGACAATTTGCAAAGAATAATTCACAGCACATAATATGCCCCTTTATCTAAATAATATTTGTAGAAACATTTGTTTTTGTTAAGACCGATCTTTTACAAAATCAATTTTTATCAGTTTTCTTGTTAAGGCCAAATCTTTTCAAAATCATCTTTTACAAAAGGTAATTCATTTAAGCTGTGAATTTACATATTTGTAAATAAAGAACTAATTGCGTTATATTTATAAAAATACATTTCAATCAATTTTTTCGAATATTTTTAAATAGACGAATATTTTAAATAATCAAATATACAATATTCACGATTTTACCTGGATACATGGTTATCTATGAAGAACATACAGAGCATTCCATAGTCCATCTTAAATACCTCTGTTTTATTGTTATAATTTTATAGAAATGTAAAAAATCTTCACTAATGCAAGT